TAGCACGATGAGGAGAGTAGTATAGCTTAAGAAGTAAATTCCGAATCCAACATGTTTCAGCAGCCGCATTAGCAACCCCACGATATTCGGCCTCAACGCTGGAGTGGGATATAGTAGACTGGCGTTTAGAGGACCAAGATAAAAGATTATGCCCTAAGAAGACACAATAACCCGAGGTGGAGCGCCTGGTAACAGGACAACCAGCCCAATCAGCATCAGAATATGCTATAATGTCACGAGATGGAGAACAAAAATTTTAAAGTCCTTGATCAGAAATACCACGAACGTAACGTAGAATGCGTTTAAGAGCAGCAAAGTGAGGCTCACGAGGATCATGCATGTAGAGACATATCTGCTGAACGACATACGTGATGTCTGGTCTAGTAAAAGTTAAATACTGAAGAGCACCAGCAAGGCTGCAATATAGTGTAGGGTCTTTAACAGGAGGTCCCAACCCATCAAATTTGGCACTAAGATCGGCTGGAGTAGAGGCAGGTTTGCAATTCAACATAGAAGCACGAGCAAGAATCTCATTAGCATATTTCTGTTGAGACAAAAACAGGCCATCAGCAGTCCGGGTGGCAGCGATACCTAAAAAATAATGAAGTTCTCCAAGATCGGACATAGAAAACTCGGATTCAAGCAGCTTAATGATATGAGTCAGAAGTTGAGGAGAGGAGCCGATGAGAATTATATCATCCACATACAACAACAGGTAAGCAATATGAGAGCCCTGTCTGTAGATAAATAGAGAAGAATCACACCTGCTGTTAGTAAAACCAAGACGAGTAATAAACATAGTAAACCGCTGAAACCATGCACGTGGGGCCTATTTGAGACCATAAAGAGATCGTTGAAGGAGACAAACATGATACGGTTTTGAGAAATCCCGAAAACCAGGGGGTTGCTGCATATAAACGGTCTCCTGAAGATGACCATGAAGAAAAGCATTCTTCACATCAAGTTGTCGAATTGGCCAGTGGTGAGTAACTGCAATGCTGAGAACAGTATGAATGGTGGCAACTTTGACAACTGGACTGAAAGTCTCATCACAGTCAATACCATGTCTCTGACTTCGTCCATTAGCAACAAGACGAGCTTTATATCGAGCTAAAGAGCCATCCGCACTAAGCTTCTTTTTAAAAAGCCAAATGCAATTAATAATATTAGCACCCGGAGGTCATGGCACTAGAACCCATGTTTTGTTAGAGATAAGAGTGGAGTATTCCTCTTGCATTGATTTGAGCCAGTTAGGATCATTAAATGCCTGTAAGTAAGTTCGGGGGAGAGGAGAGGATGAATCGACATGAAGGTTGAGCTTTTCAATAGGCTTTTTAATGCCCCGTTTAGCACGTGTCAGCATGGGATGATGGGATTGATATGGAAGCGAATTGGCAGAAGCAGAAGTGGAATTTATAAGGGCTGCCGAGGGAGTGCTCTCGGAAGATGAGACATGATCAGTGGTGACTGAGGTAGCCACATCATCTAGAGGAATAGGAGAGGACGTCTCGGGGGGAGGCTCCTCCTCAGAATCGTGAGCAGAAGGAGGCGATGGAGTAAAAGAGAAATTTGAGTCATGATGGTGGGAGTTTGAATTAAGTAGAGATGAGAGATTGGAAGGGAGGTGAATGTTTTCAAGAAACGAGTAAGACGGGGGATCATCAGGAGTCATGGATCCAAATGGAAACACAGTTTCGTCAAAGACAACATGTCGAGATATAATAATCTGTTTTGTATGGAGATTGAGACACCGATAGCCCTTGTGATTGGTGGGATATCCAAGAAAGATACACAGAGTGGAGCGTGGTGAAAGTTTATGAGGGATGACGATGTGAGGGAAATAAAGACACCCGAATACTCGAAGATGGTCATATGTGGGGTGAATGAGGTAAAGTTTATGAAACGGTGTGTTATTGTCAATGGTGGTAGATGGAAGAATATTTAAGATATGTTCAGCCATTTGAAGAGCCTCAACCCAATAATCAGGAGGGAGGCGAACATGAAGGAGAAGAGTACGAACAATATTGTTTATAGTACGAAGCATGCGCTCAGATTTTCCGTTTTGTTGAGATGTATGAGGACATGAAAAACGCATGAGAATTCCATTTTGATCACAAAGTTGATGGAATTGATTATTATTGTATTCACCCCCATTATCACATTGTAGAGCTTTAATATCAGTTTTGAATTGATTTTGAACAATAGACCGAAAATGAACAAATTTAGAAAAAACTTCCGATTTGACACGTAACGGATAAACCCACAAAAAATGAGAGAAATTTTCAAGAAATCAGCCCAACAACTTCAGCGGCACCAAGCCTTGTTGGGTTGGTTGCTGCTGTTGGACCTGGTACCATCCGTAAGCCCACCCGGCTGGTGGGTGAGGGTGGTGTCACGGCTGAGATGTACCACCATACCTGTTACCTCCTGATCTTCCGACCCTGCCACCACGACCATTCCAGCCACCCCTTCCACCACGGAAATTGTTGGGGCCTCGAGAATTGTTTTGATGTTGATAGGAGCCATCAGTAGCAAGGACAGTAGGGGAAGATGAATGATTTGAGTGAGGCATGGCAACGATGTTTTGATCATCTTGAAGCATTTGATGTTCTTCCATGATTAGCATAGAGCGGGTGTCCATGAAAGACGGAACCGGCCTTTGATGACGGATGGTGGTGGCAATGTACTGGAACTTCTTTGTTAAACCACTAAGAGTGTATGACACCAGATTTCTTTCAGGAACAGGAGCATCAAGGTTCTCCAGTAAATCAGCTATGATTTTTATGCGGGTATAGTAGTCCGTAACTGAGGAATCACCCATGGTGATGTTTCTCAACTCAGATTCAAGTTGAAGAGCTTTGTTTTCCTTATTATCTCGAAAAAGTTTTTCAAGATCAACCCATATAGAATGAGCAATAGCTTACTTTTTCAAAATCATGTGTAACAAAGGTTGAGCAAGGGTGCTGTAAAGCCATGACTTAACAATGGAATCCACTCTAATCCATTCAGTATCATCGATTTCCTTGGCTTTTGGGGGCTGAAGGTGATGGGCAACACCAAATCCTAGACAGTGAGTTTCAAATAACTCCCGCCATATGTCATAATTCATACGGTCCAGGTCCAATACCAAGGGAACAACATGCTTAATGTTTATGGTAGAAGAAGGTTTATCAGAAAAAGAAGATGAAGAACCTGTCATTGATTAAGTTGCAGGAAGTAGCAAGAAGTCTTGATCGAAGAAGAGATTGACACAGAAGAGAATAGCGAGAGAGAGAAGGAAAGGATTGGCTAGGGTTGAGCGACCCGCTCTGATACCATGTAATTTTAATAATTTCTCATCTGCCCTCCTTTCATACATTAGAAACGGTTTTATACATAATGCCTATGGGCCATCTATACAAGGCCTAAATAAATAATAAATGGCTATACTAGAATAAATACAAATACACAAAATACGGGTATAACCTCGTTCACTAACTAGTAACTACTTAAAAGTTTTATATATTATCCATCTTTCTTATTGCCTCATGTTGACAATACGTAACTACATCGATCCTTTAGATATACGACTGTTTTATAATTCATTGATGTTTTTCTAGCATTAATATGATCATCATGGATTAATAAATAAATTAAAAAAGATATTGTCATTGAAATTAAGTGTTATATATTTCTTAAAAGGTACAACAATGAAGCACATTTACAAACACGTTCATGATACTGGTCTCTTTTGTGAATTGAATATATATACATACACAATTGGTACTGCAGTTTTGATAACATGTTGATTTTTTTACTTATAATTTTTAGAATCCGATCTAATATCTGATCCGAATTACTCATACTTGAATACCTAAATTCAATACAATTCGGTTATCGGTTATCTTTTTATTTGAAAAAACCCGAACTACCTGACTTGAATTATCCAAAACCCAAAAGTTATACCTGATGAACACCCCTAAATTCAATATACTTTGTCAAAAAAAAAAAAAAAAAATTATAGTTCTCAATGAAAAATAAGCCTCAAACAAAATATGAAATTTGTCATCTTCAATTCAAAAAATATATCTCAAAGTAAAACGAGGGAATGTTAAAGGATCAAAGCCTAAGCTTAACAAAATAAGTCTCCATTGTATCCTCCATCGGTCACCTTTAGTGTCTCTTCTATCCTCATTCGTGTTAATCACTCCTCACTCCGAACATAACATAGAGTAATGCATAAGGGAAATATAAGCCTATTAAGTATTCTAAATACAATTCACATAATGAGAACTTGCAAGTTCTCAAGTGTTGAATATAAATCCTTTCCCTTGTAAGTTTTTAATACAGTGGACAATCCTTTGGAAAGGAAGCGTTAGAGCAAAAACAAACAATACAATAATTCTATGGTTCTCAAATAATACTTCTCATTTATCGTCAAAACGAGTTGCCAGATAATCGTTAATATAATATTATCCACACTTAAGTGTATCCAATTGTCATGAAACTTTTCTAGGCCTCTAGTAATTCAAACTCTCATACATGGAATAATTACACGTTATTCTTATCACATAATTTAATCATAATTCAATAATTAAGATTTCTCATTCTTAATCACCCTCTTTAACTTGTTAATACCATTACAATGGTGATTCTCCATTAGAACACTTCCAAAGATTGATATATATATATATATATATATATATATATATATATATATATATATATATATATATATATATATAATATATATATATATATATATATATATTTCACTTTGAAATGAATAATCTAAATTTTTCAAATTCATATGTTCCTTTCAAAAACTAATTTCCTCCTCTATTCTCTTTAAAAAAAATGTTTGAGGTCAAAATAGGCTTCAAGCCCTAGATGTAAGCTTCTCTATAGAAAATGAAATATAACTTTTAAATAATGATATGGCTAGCTAAAAGTTAAACATATCAAATGATTTATTGAATAAAACAATATACATATACATTGTTTGCACAATGTATTTTCAAGTGATATAGTACATTATTTGTTTACTTTTTCATCACGAAAAATCCCTCATTGAACACAGTTTAAAGAATTAGACACCCTCTCTTTTTTCTAGATGATTTATGAACAACAAATAGCATGCATAATGAAATGTGAATGTGGGTCTTTCCCTTTTCCTTTATTATTCATCACCTCCAATAATTCCAACTGTCTAGCATTGCAGGGCTCCATCTGAGACCCCCATCACTTCCATATACAACTTCTCCGAATACATTTATCAACTGCAACAAACCAATTACATATTCAAGACCTATTTCGTTTCATTTTGTTACAGTAGTTTGTGATTAGATGATTGTAGTTCATCTTATGTTTGGATAAGGTATGATCAATATAATTATGAACAAAAAGAATGATATTTTAATCTATAGATTCAACGAAGAAAAGGAATGATGATTACCTGAAATAATTTAATTTGACATGGCAATTATGTGCAAGGGCTTGATCGATCAGAGACTGTTCAATACTATTGCACGACACCTTGAGGCCTAACTTACTCACCATCCTTCCATTAAACCAGAACTCAATTTTCCCTCTCATCTTCAAATTCAACACCATTTCATGTTGTTTAGCGCTGAATTTCAACTCCGTAGCATCATCATCATCATTCACCTCCGATCTCAGCTCCCGCGGATGGATCTTCAAATCATGCGATGTCTGAGGATTCTGCCTGAATCCCTTCAAATGAACTTTCGGTAACGAGAATCCTTCGATCTTCGTCTCCACATGCATTCCATCATACACTAACGTCACCTTCTTGTTGTTGTTTGTCACGTTAACAAATAACTCAACATCAATCGCCAATTGCGTATCCTTGTTTCTGTTCTTCGGTTGAATCACATCAAGCTTGTAAACATCAAGCCTATGGACTTTGACGTCGGGGAGATTAGATCTGACGAAAGCGAAGAAGGCGATTCCGAATATTAGAGAGAAGATTACGATAGTCCAGATGAGGAAGGAGACCCAAGCATAGAACAGAGTCCAACACGAGGGTGAATTGCGACGGCGGCGACCGCCTTCGAGGTCTTCGTTAGGACTGTGCATTTGATTATGAATCGGTGGTTGATAAATATGGTTTGATTTGGTTGAAAGTGGCGAAGGAGAAGAAGTTGAGTTTGATAATCCGCCATCGCAAGGAATTCGGTAGGAGAAGAAGAAGTGGGGATAAGGGCATTTGGAGAAGGAAAAGGAACAAGGAGGATGAGTTTGTGAGAGAAATTCATGGTGTTCTAAAATATAGGAGAGCCTTACATCTATCTACATGGACATGGATGGTAAACATTCGTCTTTCTCAAATTACATTTTTGAAAGTCACATATTTGATATTTTCTTTTGATAATTTTTTTGATATGCAACTCTCGATTGATTGTGGGTTTAGCCGGTTGACCATCATGCGGCCTTTTGACCAAACATGCTTTGGTTGATATACGGACACGGTACACGGTAGGTTAATGTACATCGTCTAGATGAAATTTTTTGAGAGAAGTACATCATATTTTGCAATAATGCTTCATTGCTTACATTTACATAATTATTATCTTATATGGTGTTAGAAATTGGAGATGAATAGATTGTTTGAATTTTCTGAAAGTTACGGTTTCAATATCAAATTGAAGTATTTCAATGGTATAAATCGAACATCCGATTAGATAAAATTTAGAGATTTTCGAATGAGAGAATTTTGGTGGAAATGTTCTTAAAGTATACCAGAAAATGACTAAAAATGGGTGTACTGTTTGAAAATTGTCGACAGTTTCAAAGTGTCACCAAACCACCAAAGTTGGTATAAAAAAAATAGATTTTAGGATAAGGGTCAAAATGAGTTAATTTTCTAAAAGAACAGATTTCTGATGTGATTTTAATATAGCAATATAACTTAAATAAAAGCAAAATTCGCACTAACATAGCAGTGTAACCCCAATCAGGGGTTGTCGGTCCTTGGACCCTGCTCCTAGGACTGTTGCCTCCAGACCCCCGTTTGTTCAGAGGTTTCGTTCCTAAATAATAATGTACTTTGAATCTTGAAATCTTAAACAAATGTGTGTTCCACACCACCTAACTTGTTTAATATTTCCCAATATCACTTTTGGTCAACAAATTTAATCCTATTAAACTTAAATAATATTGTTGATAACAAATCACCAACAAACCTCTCCCATTTAAGTGTAATCCTAATTAAACTTAAAGCAAAAAATAACTACAACAAACTAATGCATAAATGAAATGTCGTGACGATTGAATTTCACATTAATATATTACTCAATCCAAATATTTGAACATCAGGGTGTCGTTAAGGATGGACCCTCTCTATTCAAATTGAATAAATGAAGATAATATTCACAACAATTTAGATTCTTATAAATTCTAACTTGACACTACATTTTACTAGTATGTGTTTTATCCTTCAATAAGCATATCAAAGTTAAGTCCCAAAACTTCTTGAAGCAGCTAAACTTCATGTTTATATAGGTAGTCTTTTTCTTCTTGCACCTGCAATGCAATTTTTCAAAATGACTATTAAGAAATTTAAAGTTAACCTCCTTAACTTGCAGTACTTAACACATACCTTGGGATGATGTTAATAATGTGTTCTAATCTTCATATATCAAGCTTTCCACATTGAATTCAACATCTAATATTAAATTAGATGAGAATTGGGTATCTCGGTATGATAGACTTTAGGTAAACTTTAAAACAATCCCTACAACCGCCTTATGCACAAGATCTCTTGCTAAACGTTTGGTTAGATGGTCGGCCAAATTCAACTAAGTTCTTACAAACTCCACAGATATCACACCAGTAATGATGAGCTTGTGATACATGCTATTTCTAACACCTAAATGTCTAGACTTCCCATTATACACTTGACTATAAGCCTTAGCCAAGGTTGCAGCACTATTACATCTAATAGAAAATATAGATATCGGTTTGGGCCATAATGCAATTTCATAAATCAAATTTCTTATCCACTCAGCTTCTTTACCAACAACAGATAAAGCTACGAACTCAGACTCCATGGTTAAGTTAGTAATACAAGTCTTTTTCTTGAATGCCCACGAAATGACACCACTTCCAAGAAGAAACACCCAGCCACTAGCAGAGGAGTGATCCTCTAGGTTTGTAATCCAGTTGGCATTTGAATAGCCTTCCAAAATAGAAGTATATCCACTATAAGTTAAACCATAATCCATGGATTCCTTCAAATACTTGAATACTTTATTTACAACTTGCCAATGATGTGAACCATGATTGCTAGTATACCCACTAAGCTTTCCCACAACATCAGCCATATCAGGCCTAGTACTAATCATGGCATACATAAGACAACCAATAACTCTTGAGTATACAAGTTGAGATACTAGAGATCTTTTATTAGGTAGAAGCTTAATATTAGGATCTATATGAGTACTAATAGGAAAACAATTCCTAAAGTTAAATTTTTTCAATATCTTCTCAATGTAATGAGAGTGAATGATTGAAATACCATTGTTTCCTTGTTTAATTCTTATACTAAGAATTACCTCAGCCTCCCCCAGGTCTTTTATGTCAAAGCTAGATTATAAGAATTTATTGGCATTACCAACTTAATCGCGATCGGTACCAAAAATCAACATATAGACAAATCATAACTCCTTTACTAGAAGTTTCAAATTTTCTATATACACACTTGTCAGCTTGGTTTAATGCAAAACCATTAGATAAAACAACATCATCAAACTTTTAATGTTGTTGTTTTGGTTCTTGTTTCAACCATATAATGATTTCTTCAACTTGCACACCTTGTGTTCGACCTTAGCTAGGGGCAACGCCCCTGGATCCCCGTTCGTTCAGGGGATTAGACCTTAAATGACAGTGTACTTTAAATCTTGAAAGCTTAAACAAGTGTGCACTCTGTACCACCCTAACTCATTAAATATTTTTCAAGATCACTTTTGGTCAACAAATATACTCCTATTACACTTAAATAATATTGACGATAACAAATCACCAACATGTGGATGGACTTAGTCTCTGAAAAGTAGTGATGGAAATAGAATATTGGTAGCCAAGAATATGGATTACTTCAGGCATAGGTTTACATTCCATGTTGATATTCGTTCATATAATGCATGGGTTGCTAGAGTAATATGTGAAATATCAATCTAAAATTTAGGCAAAAAAATAGAGAGTACATCATGGATAATATATGGTTCACTAATTTTCATAAAAGAGTTTTAAACTAGCAAAATTGAAGTGTATATATACTCATCTATGTGGAAATTGGATAATGACAACAAATTTCAGATAGCTTAGTTTGGAGTTGTCACAAATAGTTTGGTGTTGTCAGTTTGAGCTACATGTAAGTTGTCTTCAAGTAAACCCAGTCTGAGTATGTGTTTTTAGTTCCTTCATTTCGAAGAAGTTTCTCCACTTCCTATGAGCTACTTAGGTTGCCAACTTTAGACCACCATCAGTGGATCTGTCTTACGAGCCCCGTAAGGGACCGTAACCCCATTCACCCATTGTCTTCTTTTTTATTTCTTGTTATTGAAGCTTTCAATGTTGATATGCTTGATTTGGTAGAAGTTGATTTGTTATGTCCAGTAAAATTAGGGATGGTTGACATTCATGTATCTAGTTTATTGTATGTGGATGATGCTTTACTTGATGGTCAGTGGTCTAATCATCATTTATTGTATATGGATGAAGCTTTATTTGCTGGTTAACGGTCTTCTCATAATGTGGAAAATCTTATCTTAATATTGAAGTTTCATGTCTTCGGTTAATCTCCATAAATTGAAAATTTATGAGTTAAGGGTGAGTAATGGGAAATTCTAAATATGGCTTCTATGGCAGATTGTGAGGCTGATTGTCTTCCATTTAAATATATATGGGGTGCTAAATATATTGGGGGTGATGGTTAGCAATAACATGTGACATGTCAATTTGTCGTAATAACATCAAGAGCAAGTTAAATAGTTGGAAGAATCAACTTACCTAATGAATCGGTTAGAGTAATGGTTTGACTATACAGCTAAGGGCTCCTTTGGTTGATATTGATGGGTTTTGGTCATAAAACATCCTATGTGCTCATACAAACCCTAAAGCTAGGATCTAGGTTTCTCTATTGTACATGTAAGTTATCCAAGACTATAAACCCTAATTCTAGCATACAAGTAATCATATTAACATAAGAATGAGTTTATAATGTTACCTTGATTGTTATGTAGCAATAACAATCCCAAATCTCCTTGTATCGACTTTGGAAGGCTTAGAGTCACAAATGTCACTCCTCTAATGGCTTACAAACACCAAGAGCAAATGGAGAAGTTATAAAGAGAGAGGAGAGGTATCAAATTCGTCCCTAGAACCCTTAGGGAACATCTTACACGAATTCATGAGCCAAGAGGGTTTATATAGGTGTACAGATAAGGTTTCAGTCATTATCCTTATCTAGTTGCTTGCTTACCAAGCAACCCATAAGATAATCCTTGAATCCTTATCATAGTCGAATTCTAAGGCATTATCACTTTAAATTCGTCCATCCTATACTTACGATAATCCTTACCTTATTTTGTAACTATCACATAATTACAATTCAGCCCCTCTAGTTTAATTAATTACACTTGATCACAAAATTAATTCCTAATTAATTATTGACCAATATTAATTAAACAAATATGATTTCTCCTTTAATATATTATTCTTATAACATATTAATAAATCATAATAACCTCTCTCTCTTTATTTATTTCTCCAATCAAGTTGCTTTGGTGAAGGCAATCCAAAAGGACCATGCACCATCGGGTCAAGTACATACCAAAATAGTTATGGACTTAGACACTAATCCAACAGATATAAGTCATGAAGGCACTTAAGTCATCAGAGTATTTATTGAATGATGGTTCCCTATTTCATCTACATTTTTTATTTATAAATCCACACTATCAATGTAATTCACAAAATCGTCTAGAATAATCAATTTTTGTCATCTCACTTTTGGAAGATGCTCCAAACTCACCCTCCGACTGTCTAATCTGGACCTGCCAATATTGAGAATCCACATGAATACTATTCATAATCCGGTACGTAAATAATACATCAAAACAAGATAGTGTCATGGAACAGAGTTCTTTTGGACAATCCACACACCAATTCACGACAGTCTTCATTCATATCTACTTCCAACATATGAACGACTGTGGTCCGTTCGAATAATTCGATTATTCTTAATAAATTCAATTATTCTAAAAGTCAAAACATGCAAATGCGAAACACAAGAATAATACCAATCCCATATGGCCTCAAACCTTTGAGTATAAATAAAACACCTTTTATCTATCACCATATCGATTACTCATTATTTGTCGTTT